CTCGACAACAGCTATCGCCCAATTTTCCTCGACGAAAACCTAAAGCCTGCGAATGCACTAGCAATCGGTGCATGCCATGTCGATCGTGAGAGGGCGAAAAATCCAAGGCTGGTGTATGACCTAGGAGTACAGGATTACATCAATTTTCTCTACATAATGAATTACACCGAGACACAAATTAAGAGGTTCATGCCAGAGCCAAGCTCGTGTTCGAAATTTGGAGGAGGGGTGAGAGATCTCAACTACCTGTCTTTCGTGGCGATATTCGACGCAGAGACAAAGGAGAGGATGTTGACGAGGACCTTGACGAAGGTCTCGGAGCTGCTCGAGATGAACTCGCTTCCATCGCAGAGAATGGGCGGAGGTGGAGAGGGCCGAAGGAGGAGGAGGAGGAGAGGAGGGAGGGGGAGGAGAAGATTGAGGGGATTGGGAAGAGGGATGAGGAGGGAGGAGGAGGGAGAGGATGAGGAGGATGAGGGAGAGGGGGAGGTTGAAGAGGATGAGGAGGAGGAGGAAGAGGGGATAGGAGCAGGAAACTGTATTTAATGAGGGTTTTTTTAGAAAAAATCTCATCAGCACTGGCCGGAACAGTAACTCCGGCCAAATTTAAGGCCTATATGGCGCCGGAGTTGAGAAAATATACCAATCTGACAAAACTAAAAGAAAATATACCAACTTGTCACCAAGCCTCTACAAAATATACCAATCTGGCCATTTTGCCGTAGGATATATTGATGACAGTTTGCCCTCATTTTCTGTTCAATAAAATACTTTAAGGGCACTGACATTTTTCTGAACTTTCATTTTAAGTACGGTCGTAAAAATTTTCTTAAATCAAAGGCCCATCCTTTAGTTCATGCTCAAAGTGTGACAGCTGACTGGTTATATATATATATATTTATATATTATATAATATATATATATAATATAATATATATATATATATATATATATATATATATTATGTGCCGTCGCGATTGCGGCTGTGTGTGTGTGTGTGGTGTGTGTGTTACATATACCACAGTGTGGGAAAATCTTTTTGTAGACAAAATTTTGTTGTTAGATCGGTGATTAAACTTTTTATTCATTTTTATTAATCTTGATAGTCTTCTAGAGAGGGGTGTGCCACTTCTCTAGAAAAGTCGACTTCACTATCCGAAGACAAGGAGTTATCACTAGCTCCTTTGAGAGCAATGGTCTTCATTTTTGGGGATGGCTCCTCAATTTCTCGTGGGGGCACTTCCTCTTTCTCCTTCCCTTTAAGCTTCTTCTCATGAACCTTAGGCTTGTCGATGAGGCCATCGAGAGCTAGACTAGTAAGATCGTGAGCTTCCTCTATGGTCGCAGCTTTGGGCTCCCATGCCGGAGTCAATGAGCGAAGGATCTTGTATTTCATCTCTTGGATAGTCAAAGTTTTGTCAAGACCATGAAATTCATTGATGATATTAGTAAAGCGAGAAAACATAGCATCAATGGATTCATTAGAAAGCATTTTAAATAACTCATAGTCATGCATAAGCCCACTAAATTTGGACTCCTTAACTTGGGGGGAGGGTCCTTCATGTGTAATACATAATTTTACCCAAATTTCGTGTGTGGTTGCACACGTGGAGACCCTATAGTACACATTGGGGGAAAGACCACAAATTAAGGCATTAATGGCCTTCGTATTGAGATTAGCTTGGAGTCTTTCTCCATCGGTCATGGTACTAATCTTGGACTTTTCTACATATTTCTTCTCTATGATATCCAAGATGTCAAGATCAATGCAACGAAGGTAAATCCTCATTCTAGCTTTCCAATAGGCAAAATTGCTACCGGTGAAAAGTAAGGGTCTAGTGGTGGATTGTCCCTCAAGCATATGCACATTCAATGAAGCCTCCATTGGATCTTTCCTCTAAGGTGGTTAGACCAAAAACAACTATAGAGAGCAAGCTCTGATACCAATTGTTGGACCGTAGAGGGGGGTGATTAGGGTCTTAAGGCAATAATAGTGTAATAAAAATTATGACAAGAATTATACAACTAATGAATGCTATAATAAAAGAGATAGGGTTAGAAATCGTTATCCAAGTGACGCGTGATGTGTTAACGAGGTTCGGTCCGCTGACCTACGTCCTTGCTCCCCACTCTCGAGGAGAATTCACTATACAAACTAGTTTGGAAGTTGGAACTTCTTCTACACAACGATCTCCATGAGATCTCATACCCACACGATTGATCTCCACAAGATCACACTCACAATAGTAGAAATCATAGGAAAAAACTCTCTCTTTACAGCAACCCTATAGCAAGAAGAGAGATAGCACTTGAAGCTTGGGATGTGAAAACGAAACAGTGAATAACAAGATGAAAGTTGAAGCTCTTTTGAAAACACAACCACAAACTCAAGAGATTTGCAATTAATTCTCTTGCTGAAGTAGTTGGGGTTGTTGGGTATTTATAGGAAGAGAATACAAAACGCACAGAAATCTAGCAAAAATCTTACAAAATCCAAGAAACAGATTCTGCACAGAACTAGCCGTTTGACAGGCTGTCAGTCGGCTGACGGGTGACGCCAGTTGACTGATAAGCTGAACCTTGTGTTCAAATACGAGCTTATCAGTCGACTGAAAAATATTTTCAGTCGACTGACAAAGTCAGTCGACTGGTCAATCGATGGAAACACAACAGAGAGTAAAATAAACATTCCAGGTACTTTTTTCAGTCGATTTATCAGTCGACTGATCAGTCGGCTGATAACAGGTTATCAGTCTGACTCGGTGTTTAAGTTGAGTTTCAATGCTCTGTAAAAAATAGTAAATAAATTCTAAAAAAATGTAAACCTTTGGGAATAGTTTATAAACATTTTGACAAACTAGTTTGAAAAAGAATTTTGCAAAAAGGTCCTCGTATTTGTGAAAATCAGCATTTTAACAAAAGTACCAAAATACGAGTTTTGAAAGTGTGCAAGTGTGTGTGATATCCCAAATAGCTTTTAACAAAAGTACCAAAATACGAGTTTTGAAAGTGTGCAAGTGTGTGTGATATCCCAAATAGCTTCAAATGAAATCTACAACTACTTGCCTTTGAAAGTGTGCAAGTGTGTGTGATATCCCAAATAGCTTCAAATGAAATCTACAACTACTTGCCTACATTAAAGTGCTAGAGAAAATAAAATAGCAAATATCTCTCACGTAGAAATGCACTTCTTGAGTCTTGATATTGCATTAGAGGTGATGAAGCTTCTCATTGCGTTAAGTGTTCTTGATAAACATTGCTTCATCACTTTGCCTCCACCTCCTTTAGATATTGACGTTGTAGCTCATATTCCATCCAATCCTCCATAAATGATACTAACTAGCTTGGTATTTATATTATCTAAAATATCACTCAATAAGCAATTAGTACTGATAATGGTGGTTGTAAATCATCATCAAAACACAAGGGCTAACAGTCTTATGTTTTCCATTCAGTCATTTGAGTTGTACTCATATTATTAAGTCAACTTTGCCTTAGTACGATTTCTAATTGATTCATGTTGAGACATATCGTGTTATTTTGGACTCCAGATGTATTCCAGTTTAGTTTATTTGGGACATGATTTCATTTATGAGATATATCATCCACATCATGTCTATAGTATTTATTTCCCTAATTTGCCTGTTTTGTACCTTCATTTAGATTTGTTTCCACTAGAGGATATTACTATGATTGGTGAAACATATTGTTGCACAGTGGAGGTGCATGACAGGTTTGACATCTCTGGGTTCACCTTGGACTGCAGCCATGTGTGAAAACATGGGCGTTACGGTAATTAAGTACATGTTTAGATTTACGCCTTAATTTTTCCATAAGTTCAAATATAACATGTAAAACAAATAAAAGTCAAAACCAATGTTGCCACATTTTAGGATGAAATGATGCCCGATAAATCATGATTTCCTTGCTATATTGCCTAAAAATTTGTTAATAAACAGTATATTATACCGTAAATTATTGTTTTGTGGCAAGACTTACAAATGAGACTTCATCTCGTAATTAAAATATTACTAAGAATTATTATCCATTTGATCTTAATTTTATAGAATCTCAAGTACTCACAAAATTTATTGTGATTTAAAACTTATCATTTCGATGTATCATCATCGTCATCATCGAAGTCTATATCCCAAATATAGTATTGTAGAATATTCTCCTAAGCTGATACCAAATATGATATTTTGTCCAATATTTGAACTAAGTTTAAGGAAGCAGTGGATTCTACAAAGCTTTTTTTTTTTTTTTTTGCCTTCCCTAGTTATTTTGCGGACATCATTTGCTTTAATGCAAAAGAAAAACGGCTATGATGGTGTTTGGAGGGCTTATTTTTAGAAGCTATTAATCTATGAAAGCTTTTGATGGCTTTTGGATTTTATCATAAAAGTTGTATAAAAATCCTTTGGGTATAATTGAAGCTTGTTTGGTGAAACCAAGCTTGCTTAGATGAGCTTTTAATAAGCTAGTTTTTCAGAAGTTGGAGGTATACTAGCTCTTTAAAGTGGGGTTTATAAGCTAATTTATTTGGTATTTTTCCAAACTAATAGATATGAATAAGCTGTAATTTGACCGAAAAATAATCTCCTTATGCATCCTTTACGTCTTGCTTTTTTTTCCTAAGGCTAATGAATGAGCTGGTGCTTTTCTGATTTTGTTTTGAAAGACAAAATATATCTATTGAATGTATGCTTTGATGGTCAACTTGCTACGGACACAGTTTCAGCAAGCATGCGAATAAAGGAACTCGAAGAATTGCCCCGGCCATCTAGAAGGTAGCTAACTACGTATGTTGAGAGGCATATATATACATGATCTGAGAGGAACAATAGAAAAAAAAACTAACTCAACATGAATTAAATTGCAATGTAAAGCGACATTCATTTAGTTCCAATGTATTTTCATGATCTAAATTAGATTCTCTCGATTTTTATTTGTTACTAATGAGGACTCTCCAATGCTTACATTTTGGCGCAAAGGAACTTATTACAATTCAAGTATTCAACTTTTAACATTAACAACCACCAGGACCTCCAAAATAGAACATAAATCCAATATTTGTATGGAATAATTCTCCTAACTTGATGCAAGGTATATTGTCAACATAAGAAGACACTAGATCCGGATTCAAATCATAAGGCTCTCCATGTTGATTAACAAACTGAATTTCCTGGATTGCTGCTGCTTTTCCCCCACCTTCCTCAGGAAAATGGCCACTACCCAATGGAGGACTTCTCTGACTATTTTCGAAGTTAACATTTCCACCCCAATTGATTTCTTGAGCACCCACAGATAAACTCTTGAATAATGTTTTCGGCCAGTATCCTAATAATTTATCTTGAACGTGCAAGAGCCAATTTCCACTCGTCTCATCCTATCATCATAAAGAGTGAAGTAAGAAGAAGTGAAAAAGCAAAATAGAAATTATTCTCTAACAAGAAGTGTCATAATCTCTTACATAATTACTTGTGTCATAATCTCTTACATAAATAATTTTGTATATAACTGGTTGGTGTATTGACACTTATCAATTTTGATCAGTAGGTTGAGTTTGCATGATAAAGGTTTCTAAAAAGAAATACTTAGCATCACTTTATTTAGTATCAGTAGCAATAAAGTGAATTATAAATTTCTACATGGACTTACTCATATCCACTAAGAACTTTTCAGGTTTGGGTGAATGTACAAACCCGATAAATGTTTTAATGCATGTAAATAGAACATTTTTAAATCATTAATTCATGTAAATAGACATTCAGTTAATGAGACGTATAACTTGTATAAATGCACGTACCAACAAGGTTGTCTACTAAAAAAATATTATTTCATGCTTGATTGTAATTTAAACAAAGTGATTTAAGAAATTGCTATGACTAAAATCAATCACAACAAAATAAATGGAAGGAAAATGATAATCATACTACCTTGTGTAATTTGACTCTAATAACATATTGTGTTCCGTTATAAACGGAAAGTGGCCAAATTTTGAATCCCGGAACTTCAGAAGTATTAGAGGGCACAAAACCCTTGCATAAAAGGTTGAAGCAGCCTGTAGTCATGTTACCATCGGCCTGACATATCATGTCATAAACCATATTAAGCATGACAATTCAATAAGATAAAAAATATATATGTATTATGACAAATTTTATAAACCAATAAGCAGATAAATGTTACCGTCCAATAAGTAAAAAAGTGAGTATCTGTATCGCCGTATAACCCCGGACTTACCTAGTATACAAAATGTGGAAAGATTTATGTTATAATTGAATAAAATTTATCTATATTCTAAATTTCAAAGATGTGAAATTGTTCTTTCAAGATGTAAAGGACCCTTAATTTATTAATATTGAATAATAATGTTTCCAATGAAACCCTTTAGCAAGTAATGTAGTATTAATTACTCACATGCCATCCGGCTAATATATGATTGATATCTTGCCGTGAACCATCCAACCCACTGATGACACTGATATATGCCGAAGTATCTTGGCCTAGTTCAACGTTTTGTAACCCATAGACTACGAATTCAGCTTGGGTCCCCCATCGTCCTTCTCTACTTTGGTATAGAAAAAGCTTAAAATGCGCGAAAGAAAAATAGATATTATTGAACATAAAATATGCACCCTTAAACAAAATGTGATTTCATAAAATATAACAACTAAGCGGCCATCTAGGAAGTCACGTATAAATCTTACTTCATTCGGGTTGACTTCTTGTACACCGACTTCTTCTCCTGAATCCTTTTTGAGAAATGCTTCATTCTGCATTAAACATAATTCAAAAACTTATTCGAATATTTTTATTCTTTACATAAATATTTGGGTTTTTCTCAATATATAGGTATCTCTAAAATCACCTCTGAAATCATTAAATTAGCTATTTTACCCTCAAACATTGTTATCAACCTTCAATTTTACAACCATTTTAATTATTTGAGAATAAAACCAGAATGTTTCTTTAAATTTATTTAAAAATACTGAATAATGACTAATTTATCCTTAGATTAATTAGTTGAAATTTAAACAAAAGGTGTCCCTTAGTTTTATCCCTTCATCCACCACAAAGATGAAACCGCCAAATCCATTGTTGAGAAATTTATTTCGTGGTAATTAAGAAACTTTAAGAATTTTTTTAGAGAAAATATTTAGTGTTATCCCTGTCATCCTCCACGAATTTAAATATAAACTAATCTACCCGTTCATCCGCCACAAAGATCATCAAAAGGAACTTTTCATGATTAATTGCAAAAACACAAGTTCAATGAGCATTAGTTTTATCCATTGGATTTATAAGACTCCATAAAACAAATTAATCAAAACCATCGTTAACTGGAAAAAAAAAGAGAGATTAGAGTAATATATTACAATGAATGATAAGTTGAAGGTGTCTTCTGCAGTGAATGTTGTAAGGTGGTTCTACCTCATAATAGACAGGGTAAGAAAGTAAACCGCTGAAATAATAACGCAAATTAGGATGAGGGGTACAATTGGATAGATTATAACAACTGGGACTGTAAATTAAATAGCTATTTAAATAAAAGTAGCTACAATTTGGAGGGTATGTATCCGAAAAAAATAAAGAAAAGAGAGAAAAAACTATAATGCAAGATCAATAGTTTTTTTCACTAGCAAAAAGTATCCATAAAAATTGGATATAATTATCAAGGAGCCAGTTATAAAATTCTCTTAACTATGCGCAATTGAACTTAAGAAAAAAGTATATACCAGAGTTAATCCCTTTCTCGGTGTACCATTAACTCCATTGTGACAAAGGACAAAGCAAAGGAAAATAAACCTAAAACTGTGAAACATTGCGGACGCCATTTCGTTGCTTGCCCTGGTGAAGGTCATGACAAAGCAAAGGATGGATATTTATATGGTCAGTGCATAATTTCCAATCTTTAATTGGAAAGGACAGAGAATGGCGGGATCATTAAGATCGTGATTCCCTAACCTTTAATGGGATGAATATTTTTTTTTAATGGAAAATGTAATCGGATGAATATATATAGTACATAAATATTTTCTCCATCCTTATTTGGTTGATTGTAGGATATATGATGACAGTTTGCTTCATTTTTGTCAATAAAAATATTAAGGCACTGACATTTTTCTGAAACTTTCATTTTAAGTAAGTCGTAAAAATTTCTTAAAATCAAAGGCATCTTTAGTTCAGCAAAGTTGGCAGCTGGTTATATTTGTAATCTAAACTAATTCGGGAAGTAATACGATAAATTTGATTGAAACTTAAACAAGTGAAAGAATTAATTTCTTCCAATTGAATTGCTCCTATAATTCCTCATATTTCCCGAAAAGGAGATCACCTTTGTCAATTACCAAAATTAAGTCATTAATTTCAAATTTTCCGAAGAAAATGATCATTCATTTCCTCCCAAATTAAGTCAATACGTATACAAGTCTAAAGTGAGTGATCTATGATAAGAAATAAATAAATAAATAACCAGAGAATTTTTACACATTCTATTCATTTTCTTTCATGAAAAGGATGGAGAGAATTATGTTAATTAGATAATTAGTTAGAATAATAAAAAACATCATCGGTTCATTTACTTATCAGTTTCAAAAATAGGAAAAAAATGGAAAAACATTACGAGTGTTATGAAATAATGTGGATGTCCATTTAGTTTCCCAAAAAGTTGATATTCCCCTAGTACATTAATCTTTTTCCTAGAACAAAACAATGCATGTTCTTGAAAGACTAAGTTCATGAATGAGTAATTAATGTGATTCATGTATCATCATCTTAGTTTGTATATAAATAGAGGTATTCCTACCTCACTTTGAGATAGCAATGAAGAACAAATGAAATAAAATTTCTCTCTATTTCTCGTCTATCTTTTTTTCTCTACTTCATTAGTTTTACAGCACGTTATCAGCATGAGACTCTACCATTGAAACAATCTTCTTCAAGTCCATTACATTCATCGTTGGGTACGTGCTGATATTTTGGATAAACTTTCGAGGTATAATTTCTCTTTCCAATTCAATTCATTTTTCACTATGACTAACCTTACCTACAAGATTTTAAATCAATCAGTAAGTGTAATTCTACAATGTATAAAATTACCTCTCAATTGCAATTGTATGGAGAAAATATCACTGATGACGATATGTTAGAAAAAAACATTCTCCACCTTTCATGCCTCGAATATGCTCCTGCAGCAGCAATATCGAGAGAGAGGATTAAAGAAATACTCTGAATTGATTTCATGTCTCCTTTTGGCTGAACAAAATAATGAATTATTATTGAAAAATCATGAATCCTGACCTACTGGTTCTAGCTCATTCCCTGAAGCGAATGCAACTAAATCTCAAAATCATGGTCGTGGGCATGGACATGGCCGTGGAGGAGGCCGAGGATGTAGCCGTTATCGTGGACGAGGTCGTGGCAGATATGTGCCTTATAATCACATTGATCATAGCTATGGCAGAAGACAAAACAACTCCCAGAAATGGGACAATAATGATAATAAAAGTGAAGAAAAGAAACATTATAAGGAAATATGCTACATGTGTGGAATAGAAGGCCATTAGTCCCGTACCAGTCGTACGGCGAAACATCTTGTTGACCTCTATCAAGTATCATTAAAAGGGAAAGGCAAAAATACCGAGATAAATTTTATTGATCAAAACAATGTTTATGATGATCTTGATGATATCACACACCTCGATGTAGCTGATTTCCTTGAGCAACCTGAAGTTGCGAAATGATCCCATGATAAATACCCGACATTTTGAATTTTTTTTATTTTTGCATCTTTTATGTAATTTTATTTATGAATTTTGTAATTTATGGACTTTATTGATATTTACTTTTGTTTGTAATTTTCTTTGCCGTTTCTTCCTGAAGAAGAAATGGATGCCAAATATTTGGGATCAAACAATGGTGATGATGATACTTGTCTCATTGATAGTGCTACTATACACACTATACTTAAAAACATGAAGTATTTTTCTCATTTGAAAATAGAAGAAACAAATGTTAACACAATAAGTGGTAGTGCTAAATTGATTGATGGCTCCGGAAGAGCCACTGTATTTCTTCCCAAATGGACTAAAATTATCATAAATAATGTACTATTCTCGATAAAGTCTCGAAGAAATTTGCTAAGTTTTAAAGATCTCCGTCGAAATGGATATCATATCGAGACAATGAATGAGACAAATGATGAATACTTATTGATTACAAATACCATTTCTGAGAAGAAATGCGTATTAGAAAAGCTGCCTTCTCTATCTTCTAGTTTATATTATACAAAAATAAGTACAGCTAAAATTTATCACCTTATAGACCAGAAGTCTACTAATCCCAATGATTTTATGATTTGGCATGATCGCCTTGGACATCCTAGTTCTATAATGATGAGGCGAATAATTACAAATGTAGGCGTCTAAAATTGTTTATGAGATCCCGTACGCAGCTCGAAACGGAGAGCACTGAAGTTCTACTATAACACAGAAAGTCAAACGCTATATCCTCGGGGGTACAACGGTTTGCTACTGCGCTGCTTATCTACTAAAGAAGCGGAAGAGGTCATTAGGAAGACGCATGAAGGAGTTTGTGGTACACACAAACCTGGCCCCAAACTTTATGACCGCATCAGAAGGATGGGATATGATGCGACATAATTATGTACCAAAATTGCAAGTGCACAATTTATCAAGTTATAGTATAAAAAGATATCGATCCCACGAAGAAGGTGATTTTAAGAGATTATTAAACTTGGTTCTTATATTTTGTGTGTGACAATTAGGAATAAAGAATAAGTGTGATTTTGTTGAGTGATTGTTATGAATATATGCAAAAGATAATAAATTGAATTTTAGAAGAGAGAAGGAAGAATTAAAGAATAAATAAAATCATAAGGCAAGAAATATGAATTAATAAAATCAAGAAATAAAACCAAGAATGAGAAGAAAAATTAAGAAAGTCAAGATGGAGGATTCAAAAGAGGTAAGAAATCTAGAATATAATCCACTAACCAATTTTAATTACAAAACATAAACTATTCTCTTTTTATCATATTTTAACTTAGATTTATTAAGCATAGATTATCAAACCATTTAAGGAAAGTGTAACCTATCAAATTATCATCTAAGTTAAAATTACTATTCATGATAAGAACAATCAACATGATAATAATCCTAGAATTCATAAGCATAACCTATCAAACCATTTAAGGAAATCATAGATTATCAAATTTTTCTTCTACCGATTAGTTCTCTAGTTGATTATCCTAAACATGAACATTTTAAATGCAAGAGAATAATTCATACAATATAAAGGAAATTAGACTAGTTTCATACAATTCCAAGATTCTTACAAGAATTAAATTCACATCTTAAGAAATAAAAACAAGAAAAAGAGGACTAATTACAAAATTAAAAAGAAAAGAAAAATCTAAACTATGAACAAGAAATAAATCTAATTACAAAGAAAATAAAAATCTAAACTACAAAATAAATTGCAGAAATTAAATGCAAGAAAAATAAATCTACTCTACAAATTAAAGTGCAAAAAGAAAATAAAAAAGACAAGAAAGTAAATCTATACTACAAGCATGAATTTAAATCTAACTAATAAGCAATAATAAAGAAATTACTAAAAAGAAATAAAAGAGAAAAGAAATGCAAACCTTCAAATTGCTCTTCATCTCCATCCTCATCATTCAACAAGAGGAGAAAGAACAAATTTAAAGAGGAAAAAATTATTTTTATTAATTGCAACTAAAGTTATAATTTTTGGAAGGCCTTCTCAATTAAGAGTAGCCCTCCTCTCCAAAAGGAGTTTACAAAATTTTTCACACCTTAACCCCTCACTCTCTACCCCTATTTATAGTAATCTTCAATGAATATGAGCCATTGGATTTGTCTTGATCCCTAAGCAATAATCTCCACCTTTGAATTTGCTTTTTTTGTTCTTCTCTAGCCCAATCTTAATTTGATTTTCCAAGGCCCAATCTTCATTTGATTTTTCAAAATAACAAGTTATGTCCGGCCATTTCATTCATGCAACAAGTCCAGGTCCGGTCCTTGAGAAACTTCTGCAGCAGCTTGTGATTCACTTGATTTTCAAAAGAAAATCAAATCAAGTCTCTGGTCCATCTTGAAAAATCTACAGCACATCCAATGAAGTCCGGCCCACATTTGAGTTCATTTGATTTTCTTTTGAAAATAAAAATTCATTTCTTTGGCCCATTCAAAGGCCAGCTGCAACCGGCCCATTTGCATATGAGTTGGTAGTTCAGCTTCGGTCCAATGGAGATACAAATGACAGCTTGGTCCATTCTCCATTAAATTGATTTTCAATTCCCAATTAGTCAAGTCCGGTCCATGTTGCATTTCCATTTGATTTTCACCTCAAAAATCTGCAGCAAATCCGGCATACTCTTCAAAATCAAAGCAAATGTAATCTTTTGCATCCAAGTCCATTTAATTCCAACTCTTTGCATCCAAGTCCATTTCATTCCAACTCTTTGCATCCAAGTCCATTCCATTGCTTTTCTTGGTGTATTTACTTTTCTTGATGGACTTTGGCTTCAAAAAAATGCTACAAACTAGAGAAGAGAGATTTTTGAGGGGTTTTTACATTTAATAATATTTATTTATATTTTTATTCAATTATGT